AAAAAAATGTACAAAATGATGTAAAAATAAACTTTTGTAATAAAAAAATCCTCCTTTTTAGAGCATTGGATCCAGTTAATGTGTATTCTATTTCGACCAAGTTTGACCACTGGAAGTAAAAATCAAAGCTAGTAAACACCGAGCACTTTTTAATCTTTTGGTGATTGAGCTAAGCCCTTAATAATACCTCGTTTATGCATTTAAAAACGTTTTATTACCACCTTTATCCTATAACCACTTCGTATTTATTTTAGAGATAAGGAGGCAGCCCAGATTTCAGTAGTGGAGCTGGAATGCAGAAGTATTAGGTGCTTACCTAGGCTATATTTTCAAAACATATGTGATATCTGCAGTCATATTATTTTAGTTTTAACATAATGAAAAGCTACAAAGGAAGTCAAAATGACAGCATGGGAAAATCTCTGCCTTAAATGTGATATTCAAAGAAGCTAATGACTAAAATATACCAGGATTTCATACTATTAAAGAAAACATAAATAAACACACAAAAGGCTAAGTACATGAAGAGACATGCAGGCTGGTACAGGTCACAGGCAGGCAAGAAACTGCTGCCCCGCAGAGGGACACAGTGGGTGGAAAGAAGCACCTGCATAGTCACAGGTGGGCATAGGACTGCTGCCCAGAGCCAGTGCAGAGACTGCACTGATACTGTATTTTCTTTGGGAGGGGCTAATTCTTTTGTGTGTCCTGTTTGCTGCTTTGGTGAAGTAGGTGAATCAGGAGCTGAGGTTCCACAATGGATGCAATCTCTATATCTTTTCCCTCATGTCTGTGCTCCAGACACTCCCTACAGCAGTCTGATACCTGCTTGGGCCTCAAGCCTGGTGATAAGGCACTGGAGTCTAAGAATCTTGATTTCTATAGAAGGGACTATGTTAATCCCTTCTCTTCCCACCTACTTGTGTGAGTCAGGTTTATTTTTTAGTTTTCTGTTCTTTCCTTCATCACTGCTTCTGCTCTTTTCTCACACTTCTCCAGCTTAAAATACCTAGTAGGCCAAAGTACCACCTGTTGGAATATCATGTCCTGTTGTACCCTCTCACTTCCAAATAATTAGTCTAAAAGTTGTCCAAGTTGTTATGAATTTATGCCTATTGCATCCTTCTTCATTTATTTGTTCCTATTGCATCCTTATTGATTTGTTACTATCATAGAATCTGTAGTGATCCTGTTACAGTGCAGGGAGAAAGGGGCACACCTGAATTTCAGAACTGCCTGCTCCATCACAACAAGACATATAAGACCTTTAATGGAAAGGGACATTTCTGTAATACAGAAAAGACAAAGAATATAGTTTCTAAATCAAACACCCAAAGTTACCCA